ATGCTATTATGTTTGGTAAGAAGAAACATGTAGACGTGCAGTTTTATACTGAAGTTGGAGAAATTACTACAGATTTAGGTAAACATCAGCATATGCATGATCGTGATGATCTTGCAGCTGAACAGTCTGAACGAGAACTTAGACATAAATTAAAAACTGCTTTTAAAAGCTTCTGCGAAAAAGTGTGTATAAATTTGATTTTACTAATTATACTTATTGATTTTATGTTTGTTTCTATTGTGTAATTATACATGTCTCTGTCATATAAAGGTCGAAGGAATGACAAAACAAGAAATAGAATTTGATACACCATTTCGGGACTTGGGATTTCCTGGTGCACCATACAGGAGTACTGTCTTACTTCAACCAACTAGTGGATGTTTGGTTAATCTCACAGAATGGGTAATACACTGCGATGAAACAAAATTAAAATTTAAAGCAAAGAGAATATTACATTAATAATATGTTTGGGTTTAGCCTCCATTTGTCATTACCTTGGAAGATGTTGAATTGGTTCACTTTGAAAGAGTACAATTTCATCTAAAGAACTTTGACATGATTTTTGTTTTCAAAGATTATCATCGAAAGGTAGCGATGGTAAATGCCGTTCCTATGAATATGTTGGATCATGTTAAGGAATGGTTAAAGTAAGTGATATTATTTAATGTAACATTGACAGTCGTATCAACTTTATTGCCTTTTATAATAGACAATAACATTTATATAATTATTAATTTTATAATTCCTTGTTTAGTTCGTGCGATATTCGATATTCAGAGGGTGTTCAGTCTTTGAATTGGACGAAAATCATGAAAACTATAACAGATGATCCTGAAGGATTCTTCGATAGTGGGGGATGGACATTCTTGGATCCAGAAAGTGATGTTGAAAATGAAGATGTCGAAGATGAAGAAGAGGAAGAAGATGATGCGTATGAGGTTCGAGATTTAGACAAACAAGAAACTTTTCTAAATATATAAGAGTGATATATATATTTTATTTATATTTAATCTATTTACAGCCATCTGATATGGAGAGTGAGGAAGAATCTGATGATGACTCTGAATATTCTGAAGCTTCTGAAGATATTGATAGTGAAGGTACTATATCCAAAATTATTGTATTATATTTTTAAACCTTTGCTTTTTGTATTTTCTAATTTATTTAATTTTTCCCATTAAAATTTTTTTTTGTCTATTTCAGAAGAAGAATTAGGCAGTTCTGAAGAATCAGGAAAAGATTGGTCAGATTTGGAAAGAGAAGCAGCCGAAGAGGACAAAGAAAGGGGCGAAGATCGTTATCGTGACGATTATAGTTCTAGCAAAAAGAAGAAAGCAAACCGAAGACAATCCCCGTCACCTTCAAAAGATAGGTATTATATACATAGATATATTGAATATATTTCAATGTTCTTATTAAATATTGACTTTAGATATTCTTTGTTTCATATAAGACACAAGCACAAGAGTTCCACGAATTCAAAGAGTAAAAGTTCACCCAGTAAGGATAAACGATCATCGGACAAACATAGGTAAATATGATTTATAGTTTACAAGTAGTAAATATTCTCATGGAAAGAAAATTTTTTTTTCGCGAAATTATATCGAGTCTTATGCTTGATAATTAAAGAACGGATCGATCACGGAGTGGGGGCTCGCACAAGAAAGGGTCTCCTTCCAAATCATCCAAACACAGGTGATTACCGACAAGTTATATATTTTTGATAATGTTATAATTGAAATTTGTTTGTTTAGTCCCAAAAAGAGTGATAAACACGATAAGCATGATAAAAGTAAGTCATCGCATTCTTCGTCCAGCAGTAGGAAACGTCCTCATGATAAGAGCTCAGGAAGAAGCGACAAAGGGTCTAAGAGATCTAAGTAAGTAATATTTAATAAATGGTAATAAGCGGTCATAACTCACTTGATTTTAAGTACATAGTTACATGTTCAATTATTAAATTTTTACAGGAAGTAAATGCGGAGGAAAGATTTGCACATAGAAAATTACAGCAAATACTATGGTGATTCCAAATAAAACTTTCTTAAGCTATAACGATTTATATGAATAGTACATTTTCTTGCATTAAACAGAATAGAAACCAATTAGCATTATATTTTTAATGATTATTTTGAGCCCTTTGAATATTTTATTTTTGTACACATTCTTGTTGTAGTACATAAACTTTTCACAGCAATACAACTATACAACTTACAGTAAAAAATTTATATCAATATTTTCTGTAATCATATATCTACATTTGCGGTTTCAAATGTATATAACAATTAAGATTTTTTGCGAAGTCAAAATATGTAAGTATGTGTGCGTATTATATTTCAATTTTATTATATTTTTTCAACAAAATATCAAGGAGGATATATAACTTTTCTTTTTTGTAATTCTTGCGTTTTTAACATTAAGTAGTTTTTAAGATTAAATATATCTCATGACACAATTTAGATTTTTCATCATTTGATAATATAAGAGAATTGCATTATAAATATATATATATATATATATGTATATGTATGTATATATGTTTCTTCTAAGTTTTCTGTGATGTATAAGATATAAAGACACATGAATCAATGAGATAAATTTGGAATGTCTTTTTGTCAAAAAACGTTGCATTAGAAAGTTATTTCATAGAGTGTCGTGATATTTTTGAATGTGTGAGATACTCAGATTTACAATACATCTGTTTTTTTATCAATACACCTGTACTGATAAGAAACATAACATAGAACAGCATTGATATAAACATTTCGGGTGGAATTCAGTATTATAGAAAAAGTAACAATTGAAATGCAAGATAATGTACTAATGATAAGTGCGATTCACACATAGCATTATTTGGATTTTGGATTTTTCTTCGTGCTTACTAAAATTTGAAATTTGCATACTTCAAAATATTTTTTGAATCATTGGATTAATAATTACAATACTTAATATTATTTGAGAAAGTACACATATGTCTTATACTTTTTATATGCTTTGGTTACTCAGAAAGGTGGAAATACATTTGTAATTCTTCTTATCGAACCCATTGCGTTCCGTGTACGCTGAAAAAAGACTAATGATTCGAAATTTTTTATGAAGAAAATAATTTAATCACCGAAATGAATCGAAAATTGCCGAAAACTCATTTACATAGTTCTCAGATTTGTATCTTAACATAATAAAACTGTTCTTAAGTTATTTAACATTAATGTACAAATGTCATTTGTGATTTTTATATTCCAAAATGTATGTAATGTTGATACATGAAAATATTTGTTTTTATTAAAACGCCCTACTTACTCGTGAAAAAAATTCATCATTATTATGTGATGGCATTATAGATTTCTAGAAAAATGTATGATCTGAGTACAATGTATTTGCGAGAAATTAGTTTAGAAATTTGAAAAAAAGAAATTAAATAAGAAACACTAACTACAGTAACTATTTTTTATTAAGCTTTTGTAACTGGTAGCATAAGATGAAAGTATATTATTGTTATATAATGATTTGTCTGATAGATCTATCTCATTTACGTATGCACAGCTGTATATATAAAAGAAAGTGAAAGTTCCACAAAAAGTATCAATCGAGACCTTCCGTTCTCAATATAGATATGTATTATAATAATGAGACAATAAAATTAGCAGAGCAGAAAACGGAAAACATGATCTCATAACCCTATCGTGCTTTGATTATGTTGAAATTTCCGATTTAGCTGTGTCATGTAATAAACCACAGAACAGAAAAGTCACGTTCAGTAACATGATAAATAGAAGTGAAAGTACGCTTCTTCGATGAGTAGTTCTGCAACTTTCTCTATGATATATCGCTAGCAGCATACATAATTCAGACTAAGAGATCCTTATGAGAACACATGATTAATTTCACGATCTGCAAAGTGCGCATTTTGAGGAATGCCTACTTATTTCAATGTTAAGTAACCTATGAAGTTATCGAAAAAGCAACGAAATTATGAAAGATAAGTACAAAGTATTTTGTTATAAAGTACACTGTGATATTTTTTACACACGCAATATCGATAATGATCTATTTGTAAATGAATACATAAACGTAATCGCAGAGGCAGAAAATGATACGTACATATAAAAATACTTCTCATACAATGTATTTACGAAAAGTGGAAACTTTCTACAAGACATAAAAAATTTTTGTGTAATACAAAAGCAAGATACAAGAGAATCACTTATTTACAAATACTTTTCTACGAAGGCACTTAAGATATGATTATTTTTGACATGACGATGACGATAATGACGATTATGCATGATTTGTCTGATAGATCTATCTCATTTACGTATGCACAGCTGTATATATAAAAGAAAGTGAAAGTTCCACAAAAAGTATCAATCGAGACCTTCCGTTCTCAATATAGATATGTATTATAATAATGAGACAATAAAATTAGCAGAGCAGAAAACGGAAAACATGATCTCATAACCCTATCGTGCTTTGATTATGTTGAAATTTCCGATTTAGCTGTGTCATGTAATAAACCACAGAACAGAAAAGTCACGTTCAGTAACATGATAAATAGAAGTGAAAGTACGCTTCTTCGATGAGTAGTTCTGCAACTTTCTCTATGATATATCGCTAGCAGCATACATAATTCAGACTAAGAGATCCTTATGAGAATACATGATTAATTTTACGATCTGCAAAGTGCGCATTTTGAGGAATGCCTACTTATTTCAATGTTAAGTAACCTATGAAGTTATCGAAAAAGCAACGAAATTATGAAAGATAAGTACAAAGTATTTTGTTATAAAGTACACTGTGATATTTTTTACACACGCAATATCGATAATGATCTATTTGTAAATGAATACATAAACGTAATCGCAGAGGCAGAAAATGATACGTACATATAAAAATACTTCTCATACAATGTATTTACGAAAAGTGGAAACTTTCTACAAGACATAAAAAATTTTTGTGTAATACAAAAGCAAGATACAAGAGAATCACTTATTTACAAATACTTTTCTATGAAGGCACTTAAGATATGATTATTTTTGACATGACGATGACGATAATGACGATTATGCGAGAGGAAAAAATTTAATTTCGACCTATTTGATCGATTTGGGTCTGAAGATTGTTCACCACCTCGGGTGGCACATGCTCGCCCAAGATCTCGAAGAGATTGATCCTCTGATCCCCGGGGATTGATTCATAAGCGGCCAATTCGATACCCTCTTGAACCTTTTGTATAGTCGCATCCTTCGGGATAAGATAAGTATTCTGAGCTTGCCGGATCGCCTCATTGCTGAAGATTTGCCCATCTTTCTGTGGATACGCGGCAATCATGCTCGCCAGAAGCAATGTGGCCAGGACTATAGTGTGAAATTTCATCTGGAGACAAATTAGGGACAAGATTATTGAAATCACGTAATCAATGCGTGCGCGATCCGAGAATATAAAATTCAAAGGTTTCGAAAATATATGTAGGTGCTTACAAAAGGTGAAGACTCCAAATAGAATATATATACAGGGTGATCCGAAATTCACGAATTCGAAGTACAGGACATGATACTTTATGCTAAAAGAAACAACTTTTTCCTTTTGCAAAATTGTGTGTAACAAGTAGTTTTTCCAAGAGAGCAAGTTGAAGTTATACCGAGTAAACGCAAAAATTATTTATCGAATGTAATTTTACTATAGGAAAAAGTTGTTCGTTTTAGCACAAAAAAACAACTTTTTCCTTTAGCAAAATTGCGTCTGATAAGCAGTTTTTGCAAGAGAGCAGATTGAAGTTAATAAATATAAGCGCAAAAATTATTTATTTTAGCATAAAATATCATGTCTTGTACTCTGAATTCGTGAATTTCGAATCACCCAGTATATATATGTACATGTATATAATACAGAGTTTCGCAACTCTATACATAATTTATCAGCTTCGCATCACGCAAAAAACAAAAATTATGAAGCAATTTAAATGTTACATCAACATAAAATAGTCATCGTGTAAAATGCAGAGGAATGAGATGCTCATTTATTGGCGAGAGTTTCGTGTGCAATGGTATATGTCCAAAGAGCATTGGTCCGATCTCTCCTTAATGATCGAGGTCGTGAAATTGGAGCAACATTTATGGAGAAGTTTTTATTGCGTAAAATAAAAAGTTGTATCTCGATATAATGACGGAACCGTGTATGTGTGATGAAAATATTATTTTTAGAAATATAGAAATTTTCGCATATAGTGTGTATTACGTGATATTAATATATATTGTGAAACTAATATTTCTGATTGATAATTTGGACAAACGTGTTATGTGATAAGATGCGACACGTTAAAATTTTTTACGTTTATCTTCTTTTTCCTCTCTGAAACATGTGTATATTATATTTCGCACTTTAAGCACCAAATGTTTAAAAAGGCAATTGAGACAAATTGTAATTGAGTAACAATGAAGTATACATAATACACAAATTTCATCGAAAATAAAATTCACTTTTTTCCTGTATAAATAGATTCTTTACTACGTAGATTGTGGTACTCACGTTGAAAATGCGTTTCACAATCGGCTACTCCGAAATGAAACTAAGCGCGCTGCAACGCAGGTTGCTTTTATACCTCAGATGCGTGGTGGCAAAAGAGCGGCGAGAATGCCACTCCCATCCTCCTCAAGGAAGATTTACCATTCAGTAGACTTCAAACTGTATGAATACTCGTTACATATTGCGTGTATTTCATGAATGAAAAAAAGTCTTTAAAATTATAAAAATTACATAACAAAAGAAAAAAATTAAAAGGGAAAAAACAAAAATGGCGCATAAAGAAAATATATTCATAGTCATAGATATTTTCACGTATATTTTTATCTATATTTTCACTCATATGCAAATGTCAGATAAAAGCGATGTAAAAGTATTTTTATGTTTACGTTTTAAATATTTATATTTCGGTATAGCGTTTTGCGAAAATATGTTACATACATTTATAATAATTTTTTTATTAATGTTGCAATGAAAAACGTATGTTCTACTATTTATGATTAGAGTAAATGTCGAGAAACAGTTAGAGCTAAAAATCATAACGATCGACGCAAATTTTTCGAGCCATTTCACTCTGCACATTCTCGAAGAGCATCGTGCGACCTGCTGTGTATATCAGTGCCCTATTGACCAATATTCGGCACAGACAAGATTTGCTGTTACCTGTATTGGTTGAAGAGTTTCACTTTTATATGTATGCGCGCGCGCGCACACACACACACACACACACGTATTATTATGTATATGTACATAAAATTCAGGAAATATATGTTTTATATCACAGCTGAGATTTAGTTGTACATTTCGGCCGATTTTCAGCTTGGTTCCTGCCCCTCACTTCACCAACCCGTGCACAGCCTAAATGCCGATCGGAACCAAGCTGAAAATCGGCCGAAATGTGCAACTAAATACCTGCTCTGTTTTATATTATAAATATGTTATATATTCTTTGCATATACTTTATATATATATATATATATACACAATAATAAATGATTTATTAAGATCGTAATGTGAATATACAACATCCCTACAGCACAAAGTTGCAGAAAAGTTGCAGCAATATTCAAGATCGTATCTGAGTATAAAGTCGCCTGCGTGTAAGCTTGGTACTTGGCGCCTCTTCCCCCATGCTATATTTTCTTACTGAGTTATTCTTTAAAATTTTCGGCGAATCTACCGCCGCCGGTGTAAAATCAAATGATGTACGGATCTAGATCTCTATAGATGTTAGTTCGGAATTCGCTCCACTCTTCGGTCTGCTTCGAACGATCGAATCGACGAAGCGATTATCTGCTGCATCGTTGTTGAATTCAGCCGCTCTGCGAATCACAGCTCACGCACATGTTACTGCATAATGTAGTAATGAGATCCCGCGGTAGATAGTGGGGGATCTCACATCCCATGAACTAGTAGTTCTTCTAAGAGCACTCACTTGAATTTAATTTGTGAACAAATTTCTTTAAACATCGAACATTTGCAATATAGATATAATATTAATAAACGCGCTCATGAGCATAAAAAATTTTTACAATTTGTGATTTTGGCGCCCTCATAAAAAAAGGTGCCTGCGTCACAGTATAACCATCTTCAGTAGCGATACTGAGCCGGTTCGATCCAAATTTTAGTACGTATGCGTGAATTTGTACATTTAACAATATGGATGCGTCCAGAGTATACGTATTACAGGTAACCTCAATTTACAGTTTCATGTTCTTCGTGTGAACTTACGTTTCTTAAAATTAATAATAACAATAAAAAATTTATCGTTATTTTGTACTAGAAAAGAGTGATGTAATCATCATTAAAATGAAGCGAGGTGGATATAGTTGTGCCATGAATAATTGTCCAAATATTTCTGGACGGGGGCATAATATCAGTTTTTTTTATTTTCCAAAAGGTCCAGATAGGTAAAAATATTTTTCGTTATCAAGTTTATTGTTAATTAAATTATATATCAAGTGTTCTCAGTAATATTTTATACAAAACGTATTTCAGAGGATTCTTTTGATTTTCTTTACTTTAATACAATTCTCTGGATCATAATTCGAATTACACAGAAAAAATTTTTTTAATTACATACGTATATGAGGACACAAATAATCTAATACCTGATATCGCACGTATATTACACAAAAAAATAAGAAGTAATGAGAAGATTTACATGAAAAGGGAAGAGAAGGCATTTATATTATATTTCCGTGCATACGTTTTAATCGCAGTGCCGATACATTTAACAATATGGCGATATACCACATGACCTTGGACCACTACATCAAAGATGTCGACACTTAGTGTCGCTACTGGAGATGGTTATACTGTGCCTGCGTGTGATACACGCGTTGCCCGCTCGGTAGCTACGGCCCTGGCAATATTGCATATTGCGGCAATATTGCATGTTGCAGCAATATTGTAGTGATTTTGCAGCGATATTGTTGCAAATTCTGTGCTGTATGGGCAAGTAATAATATTAAAGTCTATAACGGAAACTGGATCTTTAATGCTTCAAATAATTCAATGTAAATTATACAGGGTATTCCATTTTAAATAATGCATTAAGATTTCTCGAAAACTATGGTAGAAAAATGTTTTAAACAAAAGTTGTATGGTTCGGAGGGGGACATAAGAAGGTATCATTGATTTAACCTTGGGTGGTGTCGTTGAGGTCAAGTCACATCAATTTTTTTAAATGGAATACCATATTTTTTATTCTAGAATCTAATAGCTGATAGCAAGAGCTTTTCAAAACACTATAATGAAGTTATTTTCCATTAAGTACTTTTTTTTTATAAGGCTTGAAAGTTACAGTACCGCCAGCATTAGCATTACGCAAGGTATCCGATCGACGCGACGGCTAAAACCTTTTGAATATTGTTCAGGATCATGTTCTGGATAATATTTGTTAAAATCAAGGCTATTGAAGATTATTCTTCTTATTTTTATTCTTGCACTAAAGATTCATTTTTACAGACAATAATTAATAAACGATAAGTAAATGTATTAGTAAAAGAAGAACGTATTAACATGTTCTCACTCTTTAGCTGAAAAACGAGCATTGAAAACAATCCACTCAAAAATACTCACAGCGGAAAAACAAGTATTGAAAATGAACAATTCATTAAAAAATACTCATGATTATAGGGTAACTCCGGTATATACGCCGCACCTATCAAAAACTTAATTTATTAAGTATTATTTACTATGTTTAAAATAAACGAACTATATCAATAAAAACTTTGTACTGTCTACTACTATGAAAAAAAAATTAGGAATTTGAAATATTTAGTTTTCGTATTAAAAAATAAACTTTTTGAAATCTTGCAGTTTTGCTATACCAGGTATGTAAATATGAGACCGGAATTTTTTAATATAGAAAATACATGTTTATTGTATGAAAATGATAAAAAATATTTTATTCGAAGTATTGCCCATCGCTAGCTATACATTTTTCCCACCTGTCTGACAATTTGTGGATTCAAATTGATCATTTGTTGTCGGTAGCGTTCAGTATTAACGGTTTCGTCAGGTTTTAGCAGCTCATAATAGATCACACCTTTCTGATCCCATCAAACACAGAGCATTGTCTTCCGTCCATAGCGATTTGGCCTTGCAGTCGATATCGATGGTTCGCCTGGAGTTACCCATGATCTTTTACGCTTAGGATTCTCAAAATATATCCACTTTTCATCGCCAGTCACAATTCGATGGAGAAATGACTTTCTTTTGTACCCGGCGAGCAGTATTTCGCAAGTGGTTTTTCAGTTTTCCTGCTGTCTTTCATTTAGTTCATGTGGAACCCATTTTCCCATCTTCTGGATCTTTCCCATGGATTTCAAACGTATGGCGACGGCTTCTCGTGTCACATTCAATTGATCCGCGAGTGGTTGAGTTTGAGCGTCATCCTCATCCAACAATGCTTGCAATTCGCTGTCTTCAAACTTTTTCGGTGGTTTTCCACATTCTTCGTTTCTCACGTCAAAATCGCCACTTTTGAATTTTTTAAACCACTCAAAGCACTGTGATTTACCAAGAGCATGCTCACCATACTAATATAACATAAAGGCATGTAACAGAGTAAAGTTGCGAGAAAATTACCCTCACTCCTTCTATTTTTTCTGACTTCCGCGGCATAAATCCCAGCGTGGCGTATGTATCGGAGTTACCCTATATACTTTCGTATTTATCGTTCATCAATGGAAAAACGAGTATTAAAAACGAGCAATCTCCTTAAAAATATTCATACGCATACTCATGTATATTCGTTATTGTACCTTCGCGGTACACTATACGAGTGTTTGCAAGTGCAAGAAACGGACAAAAAACGGGCTAAAAACGATCCATATAAAATGTAAAAGAGGTGAAAAATGTTTATCTTTAGAAAAATTACAAAACCATGTACAAATCGTCATAAACCGGCATAACTAGTTTCCCTTTACTGTTATTATTTAATAATTTGTTTATACGAATTAGTTGCAAAATTGATTTTTATGTGTCTGACTTTTTTTGTGTCAGAAATGTTTTTCATACTTCGATCCTATTTCCAGTTGTTCCTCTTTTACTAATTTTGCCATGGTCTTAATGGATTAATTTAAAGCTTTAATGGATTAAAATAAAAAATGAAAAAATCCATAAAGATTCGTGAACGATGAAACGAAATGAAGTTTACTGGGTTTCTATCGTTTGTAAAATATTTGCATTTAACAGTAATTTTCCTAAAGGTTTATCGCAAATTTTTCCCTCCTTAAAAACAAATCGTCCCCTAAGGACAGTTGCGATTACTTTTCCAAATAGAATCTTTCCTTGATACGGTGTCAGCTGTAAAAGTAAACATTTTTGGAGACTTGGTGAGATCTTTCGTAAGAATTACACAGATCGACGTTTTAAGACTTTTTTTCTGCTGTTTGAATAAAAGATACCATTTCCAATGTATTTTCGCGCGCTGAATACGAATCCGGCAATGAAATTGCTCTATCACGTCAGGTTTTTGCGAAAAGTGAAGTTAAAGGTGTTAAAATTGACGTCTTTTGATATATTTGTGATTTTTTCATAGCGAAGTAAATTTTTTTTCTACTTTCGTTTACTATATCTTAAAGTG